CTAAAAACACGCAAAAAATACCTCCAAAACCCATAACTCTGCTTGGAGAGTAGGTAAGGAGTACAGTTTGTCTTTTCCGTAGCAACTCCCCTGACGTATCATTGATCTTTCAGGCTTCAGATAGGGTCTGGAAAGAGTAGAATTTGGCCAAACATGTATGATACAGTTTACAATTTTATTAAGAAAATCAAATAACATTATACATGTACAACTGTTTGGCCAATTTCTACTCTTCCCAGCCCCCATCTGAAGCCGCGCAGAGTAGTTCTTAGCGCCACACAGGACGGGGTATATCCAGATGTAAATAACAGAAAATAAATCAACACAATTTAGAGCTTTAACGTTCCAAGTTGCTTTGGCTACTGGAAGTAGTCACGCATGCTTTTGACATGAGCTATTTGCCCCGTTCACGATCACGGAGGAAGCTACTTTTTTTTTTTTTTCCAACATGTCATCACAAGACGTGGTGACGGCACACTCAAGATTTCTAAAATTATATTAATGCCGCCACCAACACAGGGGACAAGACAATACTCGTTTTCACCTGAGCGAAGTGAGGAAAGTCGTGTAAAGTGCCTTTCCCGAAGGCACAAGATCGGTGGCATATCAGGACTCGAACCCGGGACCTCTAGGTTCCGAGTCGAGCACTCTGCCGCTACGCCACACGACCCCACAAGTTTCTGAATTTCTGTGAGGAAGCTACTTCCTATAGTCAGTGTGTCGTGACCCTGAAAAGAAGCTCGTTTTCGTGAAACGGTTGCAAAGACACGGCATTTTACTCAAGTAGCTGGCTGATGAGGTCTTCATCATCATCATCATCATCTGTCATCCTCCGAAGAGGTGGAGCATACAAAGTTAGATCTCCAAAACTGTCATTCATCACAGAGATAAGTTCCTGGCCCTCCAAGCCTGTTTCAGTTTCTATAAGTTTTTTAACTGTTATGTTTGGGCGTCCAACTCTTATCTTTGTATCAGGGTTCCAAAGTAGAAGCCTACTGGCTGGTTCTTCACTACGTACAACATGACCGGCCAAGCTTAGTCGTCGACATTTAACTACAGTTACTACTATAGTTACATTTGGTAACGAACCGTATAACGCGATGAGGTCTTAACACTATCGAAAAAGATAACTGGCTGGTCATATGCTGTCGTATCACGACGTATGCCAATGACTTAACGACGGGACAGACTAACCATCTTTTTCCACTTCATCCTCCTGTTCTGGTACCGCGTTTTATAGAAAGTTTTTATTTACATAGAATAATGTCATGGACTATTAAGCTACTAGTATTATGTGTTACTGTGTTTTTGTCTTGTCAGCAGAGCAAGCCCTTTCCTGACTGTGTGGGCCAAACAGCCAAACCAATGAATAAAAAATAATTGTGGGGTCGTGTGGCGTAGCGGCAGAGTGCGCGACCCGGGTTCGAGTCCTGACATGCCACCGATCTTGTGCCCTTGGGAATGGCACTTTACACGACTTTCCTCACTTACTTCAGGTGTAAATGAGTATTGTCCTGTCATATATTTGTCCCCTGTGTTAGTTGAAAAAACTTGAGTGTGTCGTCACCACGTCTGGTGATTACATGTTGGAATAAAAAAAAATAATAATAATTCAGACTCACCATCTTTTTCCACTTCATCCTCCTGTTCTGGTACCATGTCTTGACCTGCAGCTGGCTCAGACCCAGCGACTCGGCCAGCTCCACCCTGTCCGGCGTGCTGAGGTACTTCTGCTTCTCGAACCGCTTCTCCAGCCCGAGCAGCTGCAGCTCCGTGAACACCGTGCGGCTCCGGCGGCACTTCTTCACGCGCACCTGGAAGATCGTGAATAAAGTCAAGTCAAGTCAAAGTTTATTGCACAACGATTTTATTTGGTTCACCGTATTGTTTCATTACTTATGCCAAACTTGATTATTTTGTTTAATGTCATTTATATTTTATTTGATATAACTGTAGAAATTGTAAAATAATGACGGGGAGGATATCAAATAAGCCTTTGTGGCTTTTCTTCCACCCCTTGCACGTTTATTTTCATAGTAATATTTTGTATAACTTTATGTATTTGCTAAAATAAATATTGTCTTGTCCTGTATTCGTCCTCTGCGTTGGTGGCATAAAATAAGTTTATATAACTTGAGCGTGCTGTCACCATGTCTAGTCATGAAATGTTGGAATTAAAAAAAAACTGAACTGAACCGAACTCACCCCGTTGGCGCCCTCCGGAGCCGGGTCTGGCTTGGCGCGCAGGTATACGGGCAGAGGGAGCGGGACGGAGAACGGGCCGGCCGCCGGCTGGTGCGGGTGCGGGTGGTGGTAGTGCAGCAGGAAGTCCGCAACTGCAGGGGGAACAAGAAAGGATGAGTGATCTCGATCCAGTTTTTTTATTATTATTTTTTTATTCCAACATGTAATCACAAGACGTGGTGACGGCACACTCAAGTTTTTCAACATTAATGCCGCCACCAACACAGGAGACAAATACATGACAGGATAGTACTCGTTTTCACCTGAGTTAAGTGAGGAAAGTCGTGTTAAGTGCCTTACCCAAGGGCACAAGATCGGTGGCATGTCAGGACTTGAACCCGGGACTCTTAGTTCCGAGTCGCGCACTCTGCCGCTACGCCACACGACCCTACAGTCGATCCAGTTTCAGCTCACCGAAGAGCTAATCTCCCACTACTCGTAACAGAGAAAACAGACTCTATGTACAGTATGTACAGGTTCAATGTACCGGTGAAATTCCCCTAGCTCATTTTCGACAAGCGCAATGAACAGTGGACCTAAGGACTGCGACCCTTTACAGTAGCATGCGTGTCGTGTGTGAGCGACAACAGCCGGGATTCGAACCCGGCCCAACCCGCTTGGTCCAGAGGCAGGGTCGCTAACCACTGGACTACACACGCCGCACTACATGGTTACTCTCTGTAAACTCCGCTGTGTACACTGTTCTGTCCACTTAACTAAAATGTTTCGGGTACACACCGTAAGCTAGCAGGGACAGTCTCAGAGGTTCCGATGTTGTCATGGGGGTATTTTTTAAATTTACTGCGACTAATGATTGACCTATCTCGTTAAACGACCCGGAAAGCAACAACAAGTTAGTTTAAAGACTTTCCATCTACCTTCCCTTTAACAGTGACCATGCACTATTGAAATCGTAGGTAAGAAATGATCACATCAGGAAAACGTAGTTTGATTAGGCCTTATAGTAAGAAATGATGGAGAAATAAATTCATATCGAAATGTATCGTTGAAAAGCGATGATCAACATGATATAATCAGCAATTGAAAGCCTTTAATTTGATACCAATGAAGATTTCCGTATGCTTCAGTGTTGGTGAATCGCTACTGCATGACTCAGTTTGTCTCCTGCAGAGGAGTTTCTAGTATAATCTGCAAAATGATTTTCTCACAAGCATGGAAGCTTGTCACAGTCATTACACATGGGCATCCAAACACGCGTGCACGGTAAAGGTCAGCTAGAAGTTACACTACAAACACACTTTCTCTCCTTTTGTACGGGTGCGTTAGCCTCTACCAGGCTTGGGGAGGCGGATGGAAAGAGTAAAAATCATTAAAAAAAATTAACTTATTTTAAGTTAAAACCGGATCCCTGGGTGGTAAGTTTGTTCCGAAAGGAACCAGTATGATGTTATAATATCTCGATTATCCGGAATTTATCTACCGAAAAATGCATTCCTATTAAATCAAGGGATGTTTCACATCTCACTAAGATGCCTTGAGTAAGACAACGGCTTTACGAAGGGCGACAGGTCTTATCTGAGTGTATTAGTCTTGCTTAGGCGGGCATTAACACAAATTAAAGGCATCCAGTGCGACTTCGGAGCAGCAAAACTGGAAATATTCTGAATAAGGCAATCTTTATGATATTTGACACATACTGCTTCACATTAGCACATTTCAATAAGTATTTCATACTTTGGGGCATTTAAAACTGCAGAAGCAACCCTCAAGATGAGTCCTTTATTTGGTACCCTAAAAATCAGTCTAGGCCCCTTCCAATAGCCGTTTTCCGTCAGAGGTTTGGGAAATTTTGTTCCATGAGGGTCAAAATACATTAGGATAGTGTGGTTTTAACTCAGTTAGATGGATGACTAGAAAAATTCTGCCAATGTCTGTACTGCAGTTAAAGTTCTGTTAACCTATGTTCTAACATATCATTTCTAATTAGCGTTATTTATCAATCACTTTTGTTATTCATTGTTACTATTTGTTTTGTTACTATTATCATATTGATCATATTGATCAAATTTATTAATTACCTATTGTTATTTATTATTACCATTTGATTTGTTACCATTATTTCAGTTGTTAATTAATCTTGTCGGGGAAGATCCCAGACAAGCCACTATGGCTTCATATCTTTCCCCAGCATTTTATTTTATTGTCAGTAATATGTTCATTTTATTGTTCTTAAATATATGCGAACCAATAAACAAACAAACAAACAATATTGATTTTGAAAATCCGGCACCGACACTTATGTGTCACTAACTTAGATCATATCTCCGGCATTAGGACAAATTAAAGGCCGGTACCGACAACCCAATGAATGCCTTTCTGACTGTCTAGATGTGTGATAATCCACCACAGTAAAATGGATATCCCTAATGACAATTTGATGGTTCCCGGGGAGGAGCACTGTCACCTTTCTTGAATAGGTTTGCCCCGCCCCGGGGTGAGTGCCGGCAGAGGTTGGGTTTGGTGGGGGAAAAATTCAGTGCAAAAGAGAAACCCCTATGAAAAAAAGCCGAAAAAACACGCTAAGAATACCCCCAAACCCAAACCTCTGCTTGGAGAGTATCACTAACGACCACCGTGGCAGGCGGGGAACACAAGTGTGAAGTACCTTTAATGCGTGCTTCATTTTTACATGTAAGGTATACTTACTTACTTTTGTCAGTGATCACTTTTTCTCACAAATTTACATACCGAATCTAGTGCAGAAAAATGCCTGTCAATTTACCGTTAAGCGTTGCCGACCGTCCTGAATTTACCGTTAACCGTTGCCAGGACCCCCCCATGCAGACCCTCTTATATGTCCCCAACGACCCCCACACGTAAGGCAGTCCGTGTGTCTGAGGGGTCACGACTCCGAAATGTTTCTCCGAATTTTTTAAGCCCGGTTCTTGTAAACATTTGTTTTGCTTACCCCCTCCTATTAACTCATCTTCACAGGGAGGACCGCTCAAAACTCCGCTGGACGCTCGGTATCATAACACATCTCATCAGCGGCGCAGTGGTGCGGATTACAGTGATGGCATGATCATCGTTAATATACCAGCTAACCAGAGACAATGTCCTTCATGCCAAGAAAGTGTTGAAGATGAATATCATTTCATAATGACCTGTCCTACATATACTTTAGATAGACAAAAATTAATGAAAATGATCAGGTTTATAAGCACAAACTATTGATTGATGTGCAAATAAGTGAAGACAATCGTTGGAAGTCCAAAAGGAAACATCTTTTTTCGTTCCGTCACAATACAGAAAATTACGTGTTCGTGTATAGAAGTATCTGTATCTGTATAGCCGGTATAACAGCCTTTCGGCGTAACACACCAGCTTCGCAGGCACGCGGCGTGGCGGCAGCTGGCTATATTACACCGATCGACTTGTTACACCTAACCCTTGAACTTCTAACTCTAGACATTATTTAAAGCTATCTAATGGCAATCCCCCTACTGTACTTGGTGACAGTGAGTTCCACTCTGCGATAGTTCTAGGAAAGAATGAATTCTTGAACACCTCAATCCTCGGTTGATAACTCTGGTACTTGAAGGCATGGCTATTTCTTGTTCTCTTCGCTGGTATTAGGTACGTAGTAGTTGGGACGTCCACCAGTTTAATAGTCATTTTGTACATCATGCATAGTCTGGACATCTTTCTTCTGTATTCGTTTACGGTTTCGCTGATGATTCAGAACTGTTCGGTGATATAATATCCCCGCGCATCCTGATCCTGCGCTTAGCGCCAAGAATGCGGCTGATCCTCCGCTGAGCAGACGTGATGCTGCCCCGATACGCCCCGCACACATGTTCCTCACCTCCGACTTCACCTGGATTCTACGATCCCGCTCTTCGAACTCGACTGAGAGAAAACGGTTTGTGACGACGACGCGTCGTTATTTCGCCGTTTGAGACTTCGCGAAGGGTAATCAGAAGATCAGGTGTTAATTTCATCAACAACACCGCGCTATCTCCCGATCTACGGAAACCCAAGTCCTGCCGCAACATTTCTGTAGTCCTGCAGGCGGCCGAGACTCGTGCCAGCAGAACTCAACATTTCACCTTTTCTTACGACCAACAGACAGTCTTAGTCTCCACCAGACTCTTTTTGCAGGCTGAATAAATAGTAGAAATCGGCCTAAAAGGGAATATAATTGGCCAGAGGAGTTTCCAGGCCATCGAGCTGTAGGCCAACTTTGTGCTTTATTAAACTCCATTAGCGACACACAAGACATTGGTACAAAATCAAGTATGTAGCTAATCTTCCTGGAGTTAAAGTAAATAACAATAGTACAACTGAACCCTCGATGGCCGGGAAACTCCTTTGGCCAATTATATCCCCTTTTAGGCAGATTTCTACGATTTATTCAGCCTGCAAAAGGAGTCTGGTGGAGACAGTTTGGCTACTGTATCTGTATCTGTATAGCCAGTATATTCATAAATCGCCCTTCGGCGTAACACACTAGCTTCTGTATCTGTATAAGCTGGTATAACTGCCCTTCGGCGTAACACACCAGCTTCTGTATCTGTATAGCCAGTATAACCGCCCTTCGGCGCAACACACTAGCTTCTGCATCTGTATAGCCGGTATAACCGCCCTTCGGAGTAACACACCAGCTTCTGCATCTGTATAGCCGGTATAACCGCCCTTCGGCGTAACACACCAGCTTCGCAGGCACGCGGCGCGGCTGCAGCTAGCTAATATCACAGCGAACGACTTGTTACACTCAATCTTTGCACATTTGATTGCAGGACTTGTCTCTCGCTATCATAAGCGAACTCATGGGTTCATATTTAGGAAGGCAATGTCCAGTTGTCGACGGTTACGTGGGATAACCATTTACAGTCAATGTTTTTTCATCAGCTAATTCAAAGAACGAGTGATGAGGAATCAAAATTAGATTTGATATCTAATCTAATGGATATCTAATAAGACAAACAAACAAACAAAATGCCTCAAAACACCAGCTACAATGTGATATTGCCTTTGAGTATACGACCACTACTGGTAGTTCCACTACTGGCTATCATAAGCGAACTTCAAGGGTTCATATTTAGGCAATGCTCAGTTCCCGACGCTTATGTGGGAGAACTTTAAGAACTTTAGTACGAGGGGTGATCCAAAAGTTCTCGGCCTCTCCCAAAAAACGTGATGGCAGAAAAAATTTTCTTACACTATTTTTTAACATAGTCTCCTCTAACTTCAATGCACTTGGTCCAGCGATGTTCCAGCTTTCCTTTACCTTGTGGAAGAATATTTCGTCTGAAGCCCATAAAAATGCCTAAACCACATTAATGACGTCATCATCACCATGAAAACGTTGACCACGTAAGTGGAACTTCAGTTTAGGAAATTGGTAGAAGTCCGAGGGTGCTAGGTCAGGTGAATAGGAAGAGTGGGGTAAGACTTCAAAGCCACATTCGTTTGCTGCTGCCACTGACCCCTGTGCTGTGGGGACAGGTGCATTGTTAGCACGTCAACTCGGAGCTTTTCTCCCCTTTTTTCTGTGATTGTTGCCCTCAACTGCCGCAATTCTGGTGCACAGTACATCCCATTGATGGTTTGACCCTTTTGCAGGTAGTCAATTATGATTACCCCCTCACTATCCCAGAAAACAGAGGCAAAAACCTTTTCAACGGGTAAAACTCGCTTGGGATGCTGGGAACCATTCTTCATCAATTATTTGCTCTGCTGTTTTGATTCGGGGTGAAAGCGGTGAACCCATGTCTCATCTTGGGTGACAAATCGTTTGAGTAAGTTGCCTTGATGGACTGAATTCGTTCCTTGAAATGCCCAGCCTGCTTAACTTGTGATGTTCAGACAACATTCTAGGCACCCATCATGCAGACAGGTTGCTCATCCCCAGGATGTACGACAAAACATTGTTAACTGTACCACAAGTCAGGCCAAAGACTCTGCTACATGTTGGACAGTCTCACATCTGTCATTTACTACCATGTGATGGATGGCCTCAACTGGACTGTCCACGGTGCTGATTTGTGGCATCCTGACATATGTTCATCTTTTGTGCTCTCCATAAAGCGCTTAGAGCTAGTAACCCACTTCTTTATAGTTGAATAAGAAGGGGAGTCATCACCAAGTGTCTTGACCATGTCTTCATGGATTTCCTTAGGAGACATAGCTTTTTATCGATAGACTTGATCACAGCACAAGCTTCTGGTGCGGCCATTTTGTGATTTTGCCCTCACCCGCCCCATTTTCACAGGGCGTCACGTGCTAATTAATGAATGTAAAAATTTGCATTTTTGTGGGCAGTGATGTAAGACGCCATAGTATACAGTTATACCAAAGAATAGGAGTTTGACCTTTATTTTCTAGGTGAGGCCGAGAACTTTTGGATCACCCCTCGTACATGCAATGTTTCGATGCATCTGTATCTGTATAGCCGGTATAACCGCCCTTTGGCGTAACACACCAGCTTCTCAGGCACGCGGCGCGGCGGCAGCTATCACACCGAACGACTTGTTACACTCAATCTTTGCACATTTTAATTGCAGGAGTTGTTTAAAGCTTTCTGGTGATGATGCCCCAACTGTGCTTGGTGACAAATGAGTTCCAGTCTACGATAGTACTATACAGGCCGGTATACACCTCACACTAGTGTCCCCCCCCCTAGCCTTACCTGAGGTCTGGGTCTGGAAAATGCCTTCAAACATCATCAGCTACATTGGGGTATTGCCATAACTATAATAGTATGATCAAGATGCTAGGCTACAACAGCCTATGCTGATCTATACTCTGCGAGTTCGTTCAGTTGACCAGAGTAGTAGCCATACATGTCACACTAGTGTCCCCCTTAGCCTTACCTGAGGTCTGTGTCTGTGCCTTACCTGAGGTCTGTGTCTGGAAGCAGGGGTGGCGAGGCGTCGGGGCCAGGATGCTGCACAGCCCGAACTTCTGCGGCTCCGGAGCGGCGAAGCTGGCCGGCTTGGGCAGCGTCTGTCCCCGCGGCTCGGTCCGTAAGATGTCCTCGATGAGGAAGGAGGGACGGCGCGGGGGGACCTGGGCCTGCATGGTCACCGCACTGAAGGTTTCCTTCCTCACAAGCGGCGTACTTTTTCACACAAGTATAGTTCCCTATACAGAGTCGGTACACACACGACAAGTACCGTAAGACTAACCAAGACCACTACCAAGCATCCGGCCACCCGAAATTTCACCTACGAACCGCCGTAGTAGGCAGTATTCACGCCTGTTAATCGAGAAAAAAAAGGCACACGTCGCTAGAAATTCCTTCCTCGCAACCGTACTTTTCACACCGTTGACAGTTGATAGTATAGTTCCCTATGCGGAGTCCGTGCACACACGCCAAGTACCGCTAGACCACTGTCAAGCATCTAGGAACCCGAAAATTTCGAACCGCAGTAGTAGTACTACTAGTATTCAGGTCTGTCAAACGAGCCAATGGGCACACGAAGCACCGGAAGCTCGAAATTCCTTCCTCACAACCGTACTGAAGTTTTTTCACACTGCTAAAAAAGAACAGTTCCCTCGGAGGAGTCGACACACACACACACACGCGGCAACTAGCTCTGGACGACCACAGCCAAACATCTGGGCACGAAATTGTCCACCTCCGGACCGCAGTAGTAGCTAGTATTCAGGCCTGTCAGTCGACCAGGGCACAGGTGGATGTCCTCAGCGCAGCTCCGAGCCGCTGCCCTGCGGGCTATTGATTGTGGACAAGAGGCGCGACCAGCTATATAAACTATCACGTTTGCACGTCAGTACCCCACGGGCGCGGGGGACACGTGCCCAGTGGTAATGGGGCTCGTCGCTAGCCTCTACCAGGCTTCGGGAGGCGGCTGGAAAGAGTAGAAATCGGCCAAATAGAGAGATAAGCATGCCGGGGGAGTTTGGTCGGCTGGAGAGAACAGTTTGCTGCACCCGAAACTCTCCAGCCGACCAAACTCCCCCGGCATGCTATCTCTCTATTTGGCCGATTTCTACTCTTTCCAGCCGACTTCCGAAGCCTGGTAGAGGCTAGGCCAAACCCTGGTCAGACCCCGCAGTGCCGGAATGAGCTCCTGCTTGGGTCTCATAGGTCTCATCTCTGTGTAGGTTTAGGGTAGCCTCCACCGGGCCTTTCTACGGGAATACGGATCGTAGAATTCGGCAAAAAAGAGAGTAAAATTGGCCAAGAGAGTCCGGCCACGGGGAGGTAGTTTCCTTCCCTCCGCGGCAGTCAAACCTACAAGGCGGCCAAACTCCCCTGGCAAATATTCTCCTATATATATATAGCCAGCGTAGTTAGTCTGGTAGAGACTATGTGTAGGGCACGGGTGGCGAGCAACTATCCTATGAACAGTTATCTCAACGAGTAGCTAGACTAGCTTATCGTTTTAATTGTCGCTGTCGTCTTTAACACATCCAGGAGGAAACTGATAGTGTCGCATTGTGTGGGCACCTGTGCGTGTAGGTTTTCAGTAGCCGCTTAAGACAAGAAATTACCTGTGACAAAACTTCTTCTTTCGTCTATTCCCATATATTTCATATTGTACCTGCTATGTCATTGGAAATAAAATCTGAATCTAATCTGAATCTATATATATATATTCCTCAAAAGACGGTTAGGCACTAGGCTTTCGTGTGCTGATCTAGGGGCGAAACTCTCATTCTGGTCCGTTTACTATAGATTATTAGATCTATTACTCGATGGCCGCTATAGTGTTCTTTATTGCAAGTTCATGCCCGAGGGCCAATTGCAAACAGACTTTGACAAAAACAATGAGTACAGAATGTGGTGATTTAAAACTATATGCTAACATGGAGTTCTACGTCTACGGTCTGCTTATTTAACTTAATATATCTACTTTAAAACTAACAAAACGTTGGTATGCAGGGTAAAGAGTGGATATGTAGTAAAATCATTCTTTATTCACAAATAAAAGAAAGGAACATTGATATCCCAGGTCATGTCGGCCATAACTGACCGAACATGCAGGGAGACATTAGACAGTTTTCATTAAAATTATCACAAGAATTTATTAGACTTTGGTTAAAAGTTACCACTTCTATCTAGTGCGACTTAACCACGTTATAGTTTCAGGGAGTAGGCCGGTATTAATTATAAGTACAATGTAGTTACAGTAAGGTAACATAATCACATAAATAGGAAACATGGTAACCGCTATAGTAGCCGTGCATTCCTGTGAGCACCGGAAACTCCGCCAGCCGTGCTCACCTGTTGCTCACCTGTTCTCACCTGCGGGGACGCGTGACGTCACAGTGTGCCGCCAGGTGAGCAGGTATTGTGCGCAGGTAACGGGATAGCGCTAGCCTCCTGTGCAGGCCCCGCGGCGGTGGGGAAGAGTTTTTAATGCATTATTTTAATATAGCCGGCCATCCTACATAGCCGCCGAGAGAAGGTTCCCGTGGGCGGAATGGAACCTTCTCTCGGCGGCTGTGTAGGATGGCCGGCCTGCACAGGAGGCTAGGATAGCGCGGGGTGTGTCCAGAACCCTGCATTTATATATCCAGAACCCTGCATTTATATATCCAGAACCGCGATTTATATATCCAGAACCATGATCAATATGTAAGTAATGATCAGGCACCGTTCTGGATACTCCACCCGTTCCTTTAGGAAAGCTACGTTGCTGGATACGCGGAGACTACTAGTATCCAGAAAAGTGCCTGATCCTAACCCTAACCCATTAAGGCACAAAACTAGATACGCACGGTTCTGGATACTATCTACGGTTCTGGATAGTCAACGCGTATCCAGAACCGCATCTAGGGCAAATGTACGTTCTTGGGTACGCGGAGACTATCCAGAACCGTGCCTGATCCTAACCCTAACCCATTCGGGCACAGAACTAGATAGGCACGGTTCTGGGCACGATATGGGGATAGCCTAGCCTCTATCAGGCACCGCGGATCGCAGGGAAAATTGGCCAAAATAAAGGGAATAGTATACCAGGGGAGTTAGCCGGCTACCTTTTGCGACCCACGGGAGCGCTATTCAATTTATTTTGGCCAATTTCTACTATTTTTCCAGCGATCCGCGGTGCCTGGTAGAGGCTAAGGGTAGTCGTCGCTGTGTGTTGGCCGACAGCAGCCGTGGATACATCTCGTTGGGCGTTGATTAAGCAACTCCGGGCAGCAGAGACCATCAGCGCCAATTAGACATGGTCTGATCAATTCTGCGCCGTTCTGAAACCTGCCCGAAATAAACTCCGCGCGGCTGTGGTCCGGCCCGGCTGGCGGAAACTACGGCGTTTGAGAGTGGTTGTATATTTTGGGTGATTCTGAGGGTATTTAACTGGCACTCGATATAGTGCCACACATAAATATCACAAGCTGGCACACGCTAGCTAAAACATTAGGAAGAAGGACCACCTTGTTCTTCAAGTTGTGCGATATTAATAATAATAATAACCTTTATTGTACATTCATGCCCTGTCGGGCTAAGTACAGGTGAACAGATGAAGATGTATATACATGTTTATATACATGTTTTTCTTTTAAATATTAGTCAGGTATTGAAAGTATGGAAATGTACTATCTAAAAAAGATAATTTCTATCATTACTATATAAACTACAATCAACGACAAAGTGGATTTCATCTTCTACTTTGTTTGAGCTACAAATTTGGCAAATTCTTTGCTTAAAACGTGCCCGTCCCATCAGCTTGAGTCCATCTGTGTCAGGTCGTGACATTTCAATATTGTCACGGTTAAGCCCGTAATGCCACAAGTTCTCGTGTTAATACCAGGTCAGAAGGACCAGACGGCAGTGAATAATAGACTTAAAATATAGCAAGTATAGCGACTGTACGATACAGTACCTACACACTGTAAGTTGTAGTACCTACACACTGTAAGTTGTAGTACCTACAGACTGTAAGTTGTAGTACCTACACACTGTAAGTTGTAGTACCTACACACTGTAAGTTGTAGTACCTACACACTGTAAGTTGTAGTACCTACACACTGTAAGTTGTAGTACCTACACACTGTAAGTTGTAGTACCTACACACTGTAAGTTGTAGTACCTACACACTGTAAGTTATAACGCGCAATAGCCTATCAGCGCATTTGGCTAGGCCTCAGTGTTTGCCTGTCACCATCACGGACAGTCATTAAAAGGCATCCAACGCAATTTCAGGGCGGCAATTTTCACATTGTCACAAGACCGAATAACTGATAAAATGGAAAACAGAATTGCAATATAAAAGAGCAAACCTTAAAAAAACACGCAGACAATCACCAGTGTTGGATGTATGTCTGGTAAGCTCGCCTTGTAGTAGGGGTCTACACTAAAACAGACCGTCCTTTTCGGCTCCAAATCCACCGGTTTATCAAAATGTTGAACTTGAAGTAGGGGCTCATCCGACGTCGACACGCATTGTAATCTTGAAAATGTAATCCAGGAAAACACTCCTGGAAATATTCTAAATAAGACAATCTGTATGATGTTGACGCTGTCTCACATTAGCATATTTGAGTCAGCATTTCATACTTTGGGCGTTTAAAACTGCAGAAACAAGCACCAAGATGAGTCCTTTATTTTCTGGGTGGTACCCTATAAATTAGCTAAGGGCCCTTCCAGTGACCATTTTCCGTCAGAATTTTGGGAATTTTTGCTCCATGAGGGTCAATAGACATTGGGACAGTGTTGTTTCAACTTAATATGTAGATAAATGACTAGAATGTTGACTTTAGAAAATCGAGTTTCCAAGCCCTACAAACTGCACTGGATGCCGTTAAACTAAGTCCTGACAGCTCGTACCCTTGCCGTAAACAAAATTCAAATTCAAATCAACTTTATTGCTCAACAACTGTAGCTGGTACAATGTATGACAAAGAAACAACAATGGTACATACATAAACTAATACTAAAATATAAGTCTAGCGAGCTAGTCCATAATGATACTAAAGCTAATCTATTGTGTTTTCTTAGGAAGAGTATTATTACATTCTGTAATTCAGGGGATATATCAGCTATTTTCAATATGGTGTCGCTTTTGTAGTGATTCAAATATGAATTTTCCAACGTACACTGATATCTGAGTAGGACACGAAAGGAGCATATTAAAGATATCTGATTTTGAGTG